GAGAACATGACGTACTTATACAAGTAAGATTAGCAATCAATTAGCATTTATCAACTTTAATAATGTATATTTGTTGTTGTTCATTTTATATATATTAATATTATAAACTAATGATTTTTACAATTTTTATTCATTAGTTATTTCCAAACAACTTCACAAATTTGCCCAATTTACATGTAAATACCCATCTTCTACAACATGCTCGTAATTTCGCTACGGTTTTAAATACCGCCGTTGGAATTAAAGAAATAGTTCATCACACATTCAAGGGAATGGTCCTGCATATGAACCGTAAAGTAATAGAACTCGATCTTACCTGGTGATATAATACAATACAAGTGTTACAGCATCTTGTTGATAGTTGGATAGACTCTCGCTTTAATATCGAAACCAAGAATGCACTAAACAATCTTACTTCAGATCCAAAACTTTATACGATACTCTCAGGCTGGTATGCTACAAAAAGTCTATTTATACTTACAAACATTCAGAATGATGAAGATGAAAATAGTAGTAAATCTATATTTGATTATTAGTAATAAAGTCATTTTATTTACGGATTTGTAATAATTTTTCATATAAACGTTATATTCACTGTATGTCACGTTGAAAACTTTATTGATATCTCACTTAACAATAAATAGAATATAGAGAAGATCAGAAGCAAGGGTCTATCAAAAAAGTTAGATAGAAATCATCCGTTATTTCGAGACTTTTACAGAGCATCTGTTGATTAATTAAATTCAAGTGCTGCGATATTAAACAAAAATTTAGAGTTTTATAATTCAATTACCTACACTATTCTTAAAGGTGATCAAGAACCTGTAAGATTAAAACTTCACATTGATGATATTGTAGAAGTAAATGAAGAGTCCGAAAGTATCGCATATGCCAAAATAGAATCAATTATTCGACATCAGGCAAACAATGGTCATTATCATGCATTTTTTTTATTCAATTGGTTCAGGCAACAAGAAACTTCGATTCCATATCAGGATGTCCAATTTATAATATTCAAAAACCTGAAGAGTTACATTGGTTCTGAATCTTCCCAATTAATTTCATTGATCATATGTCTCATGTTCATTTTATACACGATTGTAAGAAAACATGTAATACAAAACATGATGAAAATAATCAAAGTTATATTCTTAACAAATTTTACTACAATGCAGTATAGGTTAGGTGGATGAAATAAAATATAGAAAGTTAAAAAATCACCATATAGTAGTTAGCTTCTATAATATAATTTAGTTTTTAATATATTTTTAGCATATCCTAAACATATAATATAAATATTACAATTTAAACATATTTAACATATTTTTGATATATGATAAAA